CGTATGCGTATCCACCAAACCCCACAGGGAGCCAGGCGTAACATCAATCGAGGTCAGTGACGATAAACAAGACGGCACAATTCCGTCCTCACTGACCGACGCTGAGAATGATGTAAATCAATGTGGTAAGTGTTAATCACCATGATGACCGTAGTGTAATGATGGTTCAGCGTGCGTGCGTGTGCTCGTGTGTATTTTGATGTTTATTCGCTTCCCTTTGTGTCTGTGTGTTTGTGTAGATAGTTGGGTGGGTATGTGTACTGTTGCACGTTTGTAAGCTCAGTCACGTGTATCCGTACTAATTCTCGGTGAATGTAATCCAACACCAATAGATAATCGTTCACGTACTTTCGAGTAAACGCTCCGTAGCACTGATTTTTCGACCATAAACAAGCACAATGTGCCTCTGAGCTCGAGGTTCTACTTCATTTATCTTGTGTGAGCGTCGTAATCGTGGTATCATATTTTGGCTGTGGAAACAATGTTGCATTTGGTGTACGATTTACACCGGATTCAAGCATCCATCATGTTCTACCTGAAAGAATGGACTGTCCAAGAACTTCGCGGATAGGTGCACGCATGTTGACGACATTCAGGAACTAGTTGTTTTTTACAGCTAGAAATGTATATATATTAAACGGGCTAAATTTTCCGCAGCTTCAGTTTGAACTACTATTTGACGGAATAGTTCCCAGTAGCGGAGAGTATAAAAGTTAAAGTTGAAGCTTGCATCGTTTTGATTTGTGGTGGTTCGACAGAATAGGAATACTCGAATTGGTCCAAGAGGAAGGGATACCAAGACAAATGAGTTTACAAACTGCGAAGGGGATAACTCGAAGTACCGAGTAAGCGTACAAAATGAAATAAACAGCCGGTCACATAAGCAGTTAAGTTCTTGAAACTGTTGAATGATATGTCCAGTGTCAAAGGAATCAGAGGTGTTAATCCGTATATTCGTAATAACAACGCTCAGCACAGCCACGAGGAAAACAACAAAGAGAAGACTCAGATGACATACTGTTAACTCCAATCGAAAGCCTCCCACCAAGTCAGGACTTCCTTACAGGTACGGACTGATTAGCCAACGAATATACAAGGCTAGTTCGATATTTCAAGTTTGAATCACAGTTACTTGTGATAGTGGTGTGGGATAATTGGTTTTTAATAATTTGAGCTGACTATCCTTCGGACTTCACCTTCACGCACAATCCTCAGTTCATCGAGTCAATCATACGCTCGGAAGCACTAGACACGAGTTTCGTTCTTATTAGAGCTCATCAGTAGTGCATATCCACCGTCCTGTCCGGAATTTGAACTTCCGACCCATCGCATGGAAGGCATGTGCGTTATCACTGCGCCAACCAGTTCATGCCATGGCTGAACCAAATTGCCAATTAATGTTTGTTCAGGGGTCGTCTTCAGTGATAGTCAGTTAAGAGTGGCCCGACAGCAACGAAAGGAGACAGATGGCATACTGTTAACTCCAGTCGAGCGAAACTCGAGTCTAGTGCTTCCGAGTGTATGATTGACTCGATGAACTGAGGATTGTGCGTGAAGGTGAAGTCC